TTTCTGTATTTACTATTATTAATATTGTTAGTATGGACAGTAAAGGCAATATTATTAGTATTCTTATTGACTAATGTGAATATCACTAGTCACAATAAAGGCTAGTAATATCATAAGAAACAAGGAGTCCAGCCACAAAGAGCCTGCAAGTTATATCTGATGCAATGTAAGTAGTAGTAGTGCTAAATAGATAAAAGGTAATGCTTCTGTAAGGTAATTTCTAGGTCTTTGTTTATTTTGTAAATAATTGTAAATAAGAATTTATTTATAATGGATCCAGTCTCGCCCTCCACTCCCCCTTATTTCGATGGAACTAGGGAGGAACTTGATTTTCAGGATGGGCACTTGGGTTGGGAATCTGTGGAAAGATAAGAAGGGAGTACTGGGAGCAGGGCCATGGGGAACCCTGTTAACTGGACCCTTCTGAAGAGCATAATAACCCATTTCGCCCACAGCAGGTATTTACTTAACCCTCTGGTGATTCTGAAAGTCTCTATCCTCCAATCTCCCTATGCCATTTGGCATTGACTATAAACAAAGTTCAAGAAAACTGTAGTGCATCCATCATGGTGTCATTGTTATGGTACATACTGCTGTTCTTTTTCTCAAGTAGAAGGAATGCCTTGAGAGTGGGTTAGTGGTCATGATGCTACTGCACAAACTCCAGGGAGAGATTCCTCCCTCATCCAGACCACTCCTGTTGCAAAATGATATATTCAGGACTGGCGTGGAGGAAAAAAATTGGTCACTTATTGCAACATGTGATAGATCCCCACTGGCCTCGCCAATCCTGGTATGTTGGGTACCCCATCCACTCTGTGACTGAACTGTAATACCTACTCTTGGGGTATAAAGACTTCCTACAAATACCTACCCATAATGAAAACCCTTATGCAGGCTTTGACTCCCCTCGTCCTGCACAGGACTCATGAAAGTTCTTACTGTGGGTTTGCAGGGACAACTATAGAGTAGCTGTAAGCCATTGAGGAGAACAGATGGAGAGACCAGGACTCCAAAATGATAATTATAATCATCTGGTCTGGACTTCTGTAGAAGACAGGCTCTTCTGCCTCCCTGAGTGAATCTTTGTTTGAACTAAAGCCAAAATTGCCAGTGACAGAGAATCCCCCACTACCCTTGTTCAATTATTGAAATAGCTCATCACCCTCACTGTCTCCAATTTAAATCTTGTTAAGGATGGATAGATACCTATACAGCTTTGGGAGCAGGGAGGGAACACAAATAACCTGTATCCAAATGGATAAGAGGGAAGCAGTCCTCTCTGTAGCTCAGCCATGGAGGAACTTAAAGAATGACATGCAACCTGAAGCTTAACAGGTGCAAGGGCACCATGAACACGAGGATCGTGGACCAGGGCAAAAAAAATCCATGCCCTTGGAGACTGGGGCAAGGGACTGAATCCCTTGTCCCAGTAGGAGACCCATCTTGGCTCCTGTGTACAACTATCATGTGCCTGTTTGCATTCTGATAGAAAGAACTTGAGGTGGAGAAGAATTTTAGAAAAGTACACAAGAGAAGGAGAGTGAGCACCAGGGGAGACCAAGAAGTGGAATGGGCTGGGATGGGACAAGTGGAAAGGTGAGAGGAAGTGAGCAGAAAGCTCCTGCAGAGGAGGGGAAATAATATGTGAGAAGGGACATGGGACAACAAGCTGAGGGGCTGGGGAAGGTCTTGGTATATACTTATAAATTTTCTCTTGGAAGAAATTAGTAGGATACTGTGCAGAGATCTTTAGCAACAGAAGAGTTTTAGGGGTAAGTTAAGACTGGAGAATGGGTAGCTGGGATTGTGAGTATGGGTTTCAGTTTAATGGGAGAAGTCAAGTTGCTTAGCTAGGAAGACAGCAGAACTGAAGGAGAGGAGATAATGATTTTGTAATGGAGGAAGTCAACCTGCCCATAGGGCTTCAACCAGAGGCATTCTGCAATGTGAGAACAGGAGCAAAGGAAAAGGATACTGAGGATGAGCCAGGACTTTGGGGATGATCTAGAATGTGCCTTGCAGTGAGAGAAAGGAGTAAGTCTAGGGAGGAGAGTGAGCACAGACAAACCCAAGCACTATGTCAACAGAAGAAAGAGAAGAACAGGCAAAGAGGAGAAGACCGCAGGATGATGAAAAATAATCAGTGCTGACAGACTGGAAGTCATGGAATGGATGAATGAAAGGAGACAGGAAGCCAAGGAGCAGTGAGTGAGATAGAAAGAGGGATTTCCAAAAGGGGAAATTTGGCAACAGAAAGATTGGAGGAGGAGCAGTATTTGGTGAATGCCAGCTCAAGTGAATGGCTGTTTTGGATATAAGAGCTTGTTTGACTCATTAGATTATCCATGACTTTACATCTTGGAGGACCCCACTCAAACCAATAACCATGAGTAACCTTACCTTATTGTCATCCTGACAAGGACTTACATAGCAGTCTCTCACCAAAAGGAAATGTCCCATTTAATCTTGTCTTAAAATTGCTTACGGGATAAACAGAAAACAATTAGGTCTCCTAAGCATGAAAAAACTGTCCTTGCTCAGTCATTATAAACTAGTGGGAAATTATTGTAGGCCCAGTCCCATATAGTTCCATGTCTTTTCCCCACTTTCTCTCACTAAAGTCCCTGTGCCAACAGTAATGTAAGTGTAGGTACAAAAGTGGCTAAAAAACTTAACTACTATCTGTTTAGCATTTAATAGAAGTAGCAAATGAGCCTAATGAATGCCACAAAAGGGGACTGTAGGAGAATCAGTAGGGGAAACAAGCTGAGCACAGCCCTGGCCAGAAGTTGAAGGAGCACCATGGGAGTTGGTGCAAAGTAATTGCTGGCAATTAGCATAAGCACAGAAAAGGAAAGCACTGGTTTTCTTAGAGAAGATGGAAAGATGGTTCCTTGTTCCTCAGCAAAAATGCTCCTCATTTCCAATTCATTTCTCCATTGACTAAACTTTGCTCAGATAGCATACATCAGCACAGCTGTAACAGCCCATTTGTTTAGGAGAGGATGGTTTGCATATACTGTATTCATCTGGCTAGAACCAACATGATCCAAGTCCTTAATTGCATATAATTACCAGTAGCTGCAAAATACATCTACAGCTTTCTTCATACTCTCTTAAGGAAATTAGGCTTGTTAACTTCAGATCACCCACAGGTCCTCCTGACTGCAATACTGTAGGCGACGGTGATATTCTGAAGGTACTTAGCAAATCAGTTTTCCATTTCTGTCTTTATAGAAACCATCAGCAAGCTGCACAGGAGTGGGAGATTTTGTGGAGCTGTTGGGAGGAACTGGATTAGATCCCTCCAAGATGTTCCCTCTAGCTGACCTGTGTCATTCCTTTCATGGCCCTGGTGAGAGCAGCTTCCATTGTCTTCTGTTTACATTTCTGGATGATTAACTAATTCATTAGCAGGAGTACAGTAGAGATCACAAAACTTGAGTTCCGGGTGTCCTCACAAGCTTCACATATAGCAGAACATAGGAATTACAGTTGTTCAGAGTGATATAGGATACCTACAAACTCCTCTCCAGAAAAGCATTAGTCACCATAGTTGTTTTAAAACATGCAGTATTACAGAGATGTTAATAATCAATAAAGACCCCAACAGAAGGATGTAGGTAGAGATCCATGATGAAGTCAAAGCCAGTAAGGCAAATTCTGAGCTGAGTTGGGGTGGAAATCTTTGATATGTCACATAGGATTTCAAAGGCTTCTTGTTTGGCAAGATGAAAGGGCCTTATTTAATACCAGGATTTCAATCCTTTCCTTCATCATTTGGGACCTGAGAGAAGCTCTAAACCACTGCTTCCTAAGGTTTTCAGGTTAGTGACTCCTTATATGAAGACAAAGTTTCACAACCCCTTTATATTTGATTTACAAGAGTGCTGGAGATCACAATAATAAGCCTGTATAATTTATTCGTGTGTGTGTCTGTAAGAGACTGAGAGAGGAATGCTTCGTCTTGAAGGTTAAGGTGGGGTGGGGAGAGTAAGATTTTCTTTGCTTCTGTTTGTAAGGCATTGAAAAGGTTGTTACAACTTCCTCTGACTGTCTTACTGACAACCCGCACCACAGGTTCACGATCCAACATGTGAGAATTGCTGCCTTAAGCTATATCAAAGAGAATAACAAGTCTCAAACAAAATAAATGCCACTGAGCATGTAGTGGTCCTATGAGGTAACAGTGCTGTCAAGGCAGCACCTGAATGCAGCATGAAATCAAGCTACAATTAGAGAGAAAAGCAAATGAAATCATACAATGTTACCTAATCAGAATAAAACAAAATAGTTGGTAGTTTGTGGGGTCAGGGTGCCTCGAGATATAAAGCACTTTGTGAGCTCTTGGGTTGATCTGCAAGGGTTAGTGCCCAATTCTTCCTCAGGTGGCTCATAACAAAGCAATGTTTAGTAACATACTTACCTTTGATCAGGTTTGGAGCTGGTCCTAAGACTACATATTTGGAAAACACAGGTAGAAAAGAGAGAAAGCAGAACAGACTGGAAAGAGCAGTGTGAAGAGACAGGGCTAAATCTTGCAAAGCTTTCTCACTGAAAAACTCCACTGACTTCAGGAGGAACTCTGTGCACCAAGACCTTGCAAGCTGAGACTTGGACTCAGGCAATGAAAAGAAGGGAAGGGAGTGAACTGGGAAAGGGAGAGAAGCAGGCAAAATAAAAAGGAGAAGATACAACAGAAAGCATGAATCAAGGAAATAGAAACAAAAGTAATGGAATTAGGAAGGAAAAGAGGAGGACAAGGGAAAGAAAGGGAAAAATTAACAGTATCAAAGGGGCCAGTTCTGAGAAGATTGAAACCTGATGGATTAGCTTCTGTATGATATGCTGCCATATAGATTCATCTTTCTGTCCTGGAGAACTCAGGCTCATCATAGAAGAGATGTATTTGGGCTCTGATAAAGGGATAGGACAAAGGTATTTATATCAAAGGTTATGTCATTCATTGTGTGGAAGACCTGAGGGAAATGTCTGTATTGCTTTTTCATGGCAGGAAGGTTTATACTAAATCAGTGATGACCAGCGTTTCTAGGTTGTGGACTGGATGAGTGGTGCAGGGTTTCCATGCACAGGTGTCTAGACATAACCTGGGACCAGGCAGGACTGACACATGGCATTAGGGTTAGTAAATGGAACACACTGGGTGATGCATTGCAACCATATTGTTTTTGTTTCTGGATAAGAGTATATACTTTCAGCCACTTTATTTGCAAGCTCTTATATCTATGAGAGATCTGTACTTAGAAATTCCTAACACTAATGTAAAATGCTTTTTTTTATTGATTAGCCCAAATGAAGATTGGCTGTGACAACACTGTACTACGAATGGTTTCCAGTGGCAAACATATCAATCGTGTGACATTCGAGTACTATCAGCTTGACCAGAATGAACTGGAAAATAGAAAGGAGAATAGTATTGAGGAGTTCTGCTTCCCTGGTATTTGAGAAACCAGTCAAAGTATTTTCACACTGCTAGGAAAATAACAGACAAAGTACTTTTATTTTAACCAACTGGTATTATCAAATCTTTCTACTGTGCAAGCATATTTATCTTTTTCACACCAATCAACTACTCTCATGATCAAGCAGGAAGAGACAGACAATGTCTCAAACTTTATATTTACCATGATACTTTTTGCAATATTTAAGTTCATTTATTACATCCAAAATTAATAAGCAGAACAGAAGAACATGTTCCAGATATAACTATTTTTTCAAAAGGAAATAGTTGAAAATCCTTTGTGCAGCTCACTTGAGTACACATGAAAACCAAATCAGTAAAAAGTTAATTTCAAATTAAATCCTTTTATAGCAGGTACAAATACAACAAAAACAGTGGAACTCACTTCAGTTTTATAATAGAAAATCCTGTATTAGTGTGTGTAAAAACTGCTTGTTTATTTATTAATGTAAATGTACTGTTTATTTCTAATGACTTGTTTTTAATAAAATTTATAGCATGGGAACCTTTCCTTACCCAAGTTCAAACATGAATAAAAACATTCAAAGTGTTGGCAAAATGTTACTATGTTGTATTTTTCCAAGAAGCTCTTTAACTCTCTTGTAAGCTTTATATGTCTTGTGCAGTTTTGTTGGAAATGATAACTATGGATTATTAAAGTAACATCATGGGCATCAATTCAGTTTGAAATGTTACCTACACATACACAGATTTGTATGATAAGTTCCAATGGAATACTTAATTAAAAACTTTTAAGTAGCAAAGGTATCAAAGAAGGATGATGCTTCTGATACCTTTGGTACTTAAAGGAAATTTTGAACTTTGATACTTAGAGATAAAGGTAGTTTTGTCCCTGAGCCTTTTCTCACGAATGAGCTGGGATGCCATGCTACGCTTTATATAAATTCAAAGCTCTTTCTGGCCTGAGAAAAATAAGGCACCATCTCAAATGTTTTCCAGGAAGGCTAAAAAGGGCAACAAACCATTCTTTCTCTGACCACCCTATTAACTCTCCATATTGAAGGCCAAGACAGCACTATGTCTGAGATTTTCAGAACAGAGTCCTTAAAATAGGTTCTAAATTGATATAAAGGCACCTAACCAAATGGCTTGAGTCTTCAGTATCTCTGAAAATCAATCCTGTAGTAACCTTTGGGCATCCATCATTGACAACAGGTCTGTAAGTACAGCTAGCTTTCTGGAAGCAGATGGTAACACCTTTATCAGACTGTTATAAAAAACACAGCAAACTTGTAAGTGAATTAGAACTAGCTGAAAAAAATGGGGTTTCAAGCTGACAGGAAGTTTTGTTTTTTCCATATTTTTTTCAGTCCAAATTGGACCAAACCTAAATGTTTGCAAAATTTCCCATGCATTGGGAATTCAAAGAAAATTTTGTCAGCATCACTGAATTGCTGCCGCAGATCCATAGACCCTGGCGGTCTACCCTAGGCTCAGGTTCTCAGCTCTGCAATAGGGAGCTGAAAGTTCTTTCTCCAGCCTTTTGGGCATCTAGGCTCTTTGCTGTGAAGCCAGGAACAAAGCCTTATTTAGAAGGAGGGCACTCGGCATTTTTGACTCGCAGCCAGACTGACCTGGAATAGGGGACTCAGAGGTCCAAAGTTCTGGGATGGACCTGACTAGTGACACAGCCCCAGGATCCCGTGTGTCCAGGATCTTCAGCTTCAAGGGATAGACTCCCTCTGGGCCTCAGTGCACTGTACAAGGGAGAAATCTATCCCATGAATGTCACACTATCATGCTGCATTATCTCAGGATGTAGCACTGGGCAGGGCTGGTGACTGTCACGACCCAGTGATTTTTTGTGCCTCGGCACTATGGAATTTCCTGGCCACATGAGAGCTCCTTTGCACAGCAGAGTGTTCTGCTGCAATTAAGAGCCTGCGTGCAGGAGAGTTCCCACCAATTTGCAGTTTCCTTTGCAGGATGCATTTCTTCTTTGCAGCACAGAGATGCACAGTGCAAAGAGTTCCTGCTATTCGGATGCAAATTTGTGCCCCGTTATTGGCCAGTGCTAAATTATTCACACATGGCGGCTAGTAATTGGCTCGCTGGCCGTTTAAAATTCCGCGCGACTTCCGCCCAAGTCGAAGAGCTTTGAGCACGCTGCAGAGTGTCTCTGAAGTTATCTGACTTGCGGCTGCCGATCGATAGACTGATCACCTATCGATCTTTCTTCCCGTCACCGACTTCGAATTGCGGACGGATTGACTGGCTTGGGCCCCGCCAGCTGGAACAACTCGTGTGGTTGTTCCGACGACCGGACCACCTGCGTCGTGATTGCAAGCGGCGTGAGTAAAGTTTTTTACAACCAATAAGTTGTGTCTGCCTCTCCATTCACCAGCCCGCCCTGACGTACGAGCGTAACTCGAGTCGGCCCTGGCCGTCCGAGACAGTGACAACACTGGGACTACCAGTAATATGTCCCACCTAAGAGCACCTTCAAGCAGGCTGCCATGCTAAGGGAAAAATAAAGGTTTCATTCCCCTTCTCCTCCCCTTCTCCCTGCCATAATTACTCCAGTCGGAGTTGCAAGAGGAATAGCACTAAGTCTTGAATTCATGCCAGATTATAGATAATAGATAAGCCAGCTACTTGCACATATATAACAAACTAACTTGACATCAAAAAGGAATGGGGAGTTGTTGTAAGGAGCTGCTTTCCTGTGCCAAGGAAAGAAAGGGGAGCTTCCCATCTAGGTGATGGAGGATTTTTCTTCCTGCCTCAAAACATACTGCATCAGCACTGCTGCATATTTTAGTGGTAGATTTTTCATTTCCCAGTGGGGCCGAGTACCCATTTTGCAGGTCCTAATAGGATTTAAAACAGCAATACTTCTCCTAGGAAAACTATTTAAAATAATTTTTAGAGTTTAAAATGTGGTTGGAATTTTCACCTTCTGAGGCAAACACAGTTGGGTTCCAGGCATGAAAGAAACCTGAGTTTATAGGTGGGGTATATGAAAAACAGCTCTCTACAACAGTGCTGTCTATAGCAGTTTGTTTGTGCATTGTGCATACAGCATAGGTTTCACTGGCTTTCGTTAGAATTAACCACAAAGTTCACTTTTCACTTCACCATTCAAAATTACCAGCATGGCTTTAGATAACTGTATTTTTCAGATAGCTCTCCACCAAGTAGTATAACAATGGCTGGGCAAATGGGACACAAGCCCTGGGTTCTGCCTACGCGGGGAGCACTCAATCTCCCGTCCCTCTCCACACACCCTGCACTTCCCCTGAAGTACTTTTGACTCATTCTGGCAATAGTGGGGATAGAACAGCAGGAATAGTACATAATGTAAGGGCAGCAACCTGGGAGTCTCTGCTGTGCAGATCAGAGGTGTCACCTCCTTTTTTGCTACCAAAAATCAGCATTGTTGATTGCTCAATATGTTACCTCCTTTTTTTTGCCACTGATATTTCCCTAGTCCCCACCCCTGCTCCATGAATCACTACCATTGCCCAGAACATAGTTTTGGCTAGTTCCACATCTGTCTGTCTACATTGATGCTTATTTGCAAAAACAACTAGCCATTCTTTGTGCTGCAGGTGGGACTCTACTTCCTACGAAAACGTAATACTCACTTAGACCTACACACCAGTATCTATTGCAGCCCTAATAATTTTGGGTGTTACAAGAGTTGCATCCATTGCAAGAAGTCAACACTGTTACATCAGGTGCCGCAAAAAATTTAATTGGTGCCAGACAAGTAAACTCAAAGTTGGCATAAGCCAAGGTATTCAGATCTGTATGAAAGAACAAGTATCTCTGTATCTCTGGAAAGAGAAGCAGCCAAAAAAATTGTGAAACAAAAAGCACTGTGAGGCAAAAAGAAATATGTAGATCAACGGGAAACTTTTCAGGCTCAAGGCCCCTTCATAACTTTCCTGAATTTTGTGGCACACCAGTTGAGAACAACTGGCCTAATACAGCAAGCATTTGACCAGAATACAGTGTATTTAGGATTTTATCCTGTTTCCATTTGTTGTCACAGATATAGATTAAATAAAAGAAGGAATAAACTAAAAACTATTGGCAGGGCTGATGCCACTTCAAAGGATGCCAAACCAAGGAGTAACCCAGCATCCCAAACACGTAACTGGTTATTTCTGTGCCTTGAACAGGGAAGGGAGAATGGATGAGAGATTGAGAAGGTGACTGTGCTGAGCATAGGAGAACAGGGGGAGAAGGGTGTTCAGGCAGAGTCTTACCTGCAGTGGCATGGCCTCATCCAGGGCTGGAGGCTCTCACCCTCTACTGCCTTAACCCTCTTACAGCTGCCACCAATCTTCATGTAGATCATGGCTATAAAGACCTTAATTTGGCTGTGCAAGTGTTAAAGTAGTGGCTGGCCCCCCACGGGGGGGGGGGGGGGGGGGGGGGGGGGGGCGGTGCAGGTGTAAAAGTGGTGGCTGCCACACAGTGGGGGGCGGGGGGGGAGGAGGGGAGCAAGGCATCCCCACTTCATAGCACCCCTGAAAGGAGCTTATAGAACCCTGGTTGACAGCCATTGATGTAGACCATGCCCCAAAGCAGTTGCTGAAAGAGGCAATGTTGAGTTTCAGGTGTTTATGTAGGGTTCTTGCAGGTTTACACAACCTGGATGGCCTGTTAAGGACAAATGAGTCAAGACTTTAACAACAGAAAACAGAACATGAGCGAAGTGCAAAACAAAACAAAAAAGTTGACTTTTTGGTAAAGAAAGTAAACACCTGGAAATAGTCTAGCATTCCACAAACAAAGAAATGAAACATACAATTTATAAAGGAGCCTGGGAAAATTATAAATGAAGACCTGAGTTAAGGGTTTAACCCAGATACTGGAGTAAAACAAAAGGTATTTTCCTCATCTTTCCTGTTTGGCATTACCATGGAGTTCATTATGAGAAGTAGTATAGAGTGCATAATACAGGAAGTGCTCGGCTTAACAAATTCTAAACTAGAAGTTTTAGATCTTGCTGACAACATAGTTCCTCTAAGTAATAACTCAGAAATGATCAAAAGACTGTTTAGCTAATCACAAAAAACAGGGTTAAAAACCAATTACAGAAAAAAACCCAACAAATCTAATGAGAATTCAAGCAAAAGCATGACTTTAGATAGCAAAAAAATAAAATAAATGAGTTAATTCACTCTGACAATAATGTGCAAACCAATGGGGATATCTAGAAGCTAACAATGTCATGAATTAGAAAAGTGACAGCTGCCATCACCATCTTAAACAAGATTTGCTCAATGAAAACTAAAGCTTAAAGACCAAGCTATGAAGCTTCAACTCAAATGTTTTTCCCACTTTCACAAATGGAGATGAAAGCTATGACATCTCTAAATACCTTTTAAAGCAAATGCCTCAGAAACATACTAGGTACTAAATGGAACAAATTTTATAACATGTCACAAAATTAATTAGGAAGTTCAATGGCACTTCATCTCTAAAGTTATCCAGAAAAGAAGATGGAGGTGTTTGGGACATGCATTGGGAATGAAGCATCCGTGCCTGTTACTTTAAGAAGGGAGGGGGCTCTGGAAGGAGCTG